GATACTTTTGATAATAAGCATGATGTAGGAGCGTCCTTTGGCGACAGTATTATTTGGAAGTCTCGAAATTTGAAAAGCCATCCATTCTGAGCTACCCGATGATGTTGCGCTCAACGCAAGGCCTGAAATTTCAGACAAGTAAATACATAAGTGGATGAAACTTTCACCTCATCATAAAATAAAGGCAAATAAGCATTCGCAAGATTTTTAAATCCACTTGATGGTTCGCATCTTGGTACAGAAAAGGTAATAGAATTCATCATTTTAAAAGAATAGCTGATACCCTTTGTTGTGAAACAAATATCTTGATTCGTCTAATTTAAAATTACCCAAGCAAATTCAGTGCCTTCGCGACATTAAGTTATCAAGTGATTAAAGAAATGCCTTCCCACCACAAAAATTTGATTGGGGTGGCAGTGTCTGAGTTGCCGATTTATTCTGTTTGAGGCTCCGCAAATGATTGAGGCTTGGGGCCGCCGACTTTGTAGAACCAATCGCGCTACTCTTAATGTCGATGTTGAAACTGACGGCACCCAAACCGCTCTACGTCTTGCCGACGTTGAATGAGCCACCTGTCACCTTGTAACTCATCTGCTGGTCAGAAGAGCAATTCTACCGAATACCAACCTTGAGCAGATTTCACCAACTCGGTGCTTAAAATATGGCAACGGTACAATCGTAAATATGTCAATAAAATACCTTGATCAGATAATAATGAAAGAGGAGCTCGAACTAACACTAAGACCATTATTTATGTTGTGTTTAAGGTATTGGTGGTGTATAGGTTAAGTTGTCATGACGACCAGCCATTAAGACAACTATAAACAAATTAACAATTTTTTCTATAAAAAGTGCAAATTTAAATTTAGAGTTCATCCACTACAGTGTGAATTGGTGACGTCTGTTGATGAAGTAGAGGTAAGTCTGAGGGTGGACTTCTAAGGTACCGTCAACTTCGTCATGATTGACGCATTCAAGCTCCACCCTTACTGTGTGACACGCGCACGCACCTTTAATTGACGGTTCCAAGTTATAGTCATGAAGAGTAAAGTACAGCACTATTGCATCGGCAGTTACTGCACTCCCACTGGTAAACAGATTTGACTGTCTTGGTGCTCCCAGGCACCCGCCCTATCACATGCCCGCATAATTCAGACGGCATCACTTGATACTCATGTTCACCACTTCTTTACTATTCTTCTCTCCTCCATAAATGAATTAACACTCATAGCGCAGTTGTGCCTGTAACCCACCAACCAGGTCCACATTTGAGGGACCTCAAGCACCTACCAGCCAATGGGGTGCATCCCCTAGTTAGCAGTCAAGGTTGCGAGAGTGCTTTTATGGCAGTGCTCGGTAGGCCCAGCAGCACTTCCCTTTCTGCGTAGACGAGTATGCACGTCGCCATTGTAAGTCAGTTTCATCGTGCAAGCCCCCACTATTAGTAAGTTTTTAACAAACTTCGTTATTAACACGCGTATCATCTGTTCGCGTACTAGTGGTAGTCTTATGCAGAATAAAGACCTAACGTGGAAACTAATGCATTGTATGAATTGTATTTCAGAGTGTTGTTAAACTGTTAAACTATTTTAAGGTTGCAGGATTGGGTGCATATATTTTTTAGAACTCGACTAATGTAAATCAGATATTTTGACGGCTGAAAACAAGGATTAAACATCTAGTGCAGTTTGTGCACCAAGTTCGTCACTCATCGTTCTTGTGTTATATTCGTAAAGCAAAAGAACGGGACTAGGTCTCCCCTATTTGCATTGCAGGTAACAGGCGCTAACAAGGGTATTGGAAATGGGATTGCGCAGCTACTGGTTCAAGGTCTGAAGCCAGCTTCCGACTAGCACGTCTACTTGACTGCACGGAACGAGAAGCTTGGTATGGAGGCCGTGAAGGTGC